GGCCAGCAGAAGTCTTAATATTTATGGAGTCCATTTTTCACCAATCTCTCGGAGTTCTTGTCATTCAAGCTTTAAATCGGGGTTCTATGCGTGTTTTTTTCAGTATACTTCTTTCTTTATATATTTATAAAAAAAGAAAATTCTTATGTCTATTTGAGAAGTCATTTTGGTGAAGTACATAGGCAACGTTTTTTTCCGTGGTATCACAAGAAACTATTATTTGTTTTAGGTGTGATAGGACACAACTCCAACCTATGCTATTAATTGTAACTTATTGATGCTACTAAAATAAAAAATTTAAATAATCATTTAGATATACTATTCATTTAAATTACAACATTATGGCTATTAAAATACTATATTAAAATTTTATAAAGCAGCATTTGACAATTATGTCAATAAAATGATGTTGAAGCTATTAATTATGAATTGTGCTATAAAATGCACTGCATAAATTTTATAATTCTTTTTTACATTTATTTCACGTTTTTGTTTTTGAAAAATATCTCACACAACATCTTTTCATTATAATGTCATAAAAATATTTAGTGACACTACATCATGCAGTAGTCATCTTGAATGATCGTAATCATGAACATTAGCTACGTCATTATTTTCATTATGATCTCATCATTCATAACGACAGCTTACACAACCGGCAGCAGTCAACACGAATTTCATAATGTTGTGTTGAAAATTACAATGTTTCGCACTCAAAGCATGAATGCACTCCAATCTCACCGCAAGGATGCAACACAAATATGAGCACAGACACAGATACAAACACAGATACAGCACAGCCACCACCACACAAACAAGTACAAATTCTGAATACGAATGCGAATGTGAATTTTCACACATCCGTACAAATGCATCCACACCAGCGAGCCTGACGTGCAACTGCAAAAATGTTTCATTCATTACAGATACACACTTGCAATGCAATTCAATTCATTTTCATTCATTTTGAATGCAATTTCCATTTTATAAGCAGAAAATGTACGGGAACACAAAGAGGAAGCAAATGAGAGCAGAAAAAATTATTATTATATATATTGTAAATGTAATCTTGAATGTTATCTTCATGTGTGACGATGACGATGATTCCATTGAAAAAAAGAGCTTAAAATAAGATTGCGTCGCTTTTAAGGATATGAGTAGAAGAAACTCATTGAAATTACATCCTCTGATGGAGCCTGTTAATACATGTGTTCCTGCAGTCTTTTGCTTACCTTCCATATATATTACACTTGTATCTTTGTGCTATGAGTTTATTTCAAACTTGTGCATATGTAAATCGAGACTGTAATATTATCGTTAGACTTTATGAAATCACAAAAGCAACATTTACAAAATTTATATGAGCTCGTCAGTCCTAAGGATATTAACTTTACTTATTTGTTTATGTGTGAAGAAGTGTGGCTTTTTTCTAAGGGAAATTTCTGATTTCAACATTTTCATTTCTTATTTCATTTTCTATTTTTTTTTTTCCTTTGAATTCTTATTATCCTTTATTAATTTTCACACTCATTGCATACAATACGCTTCCACAATTAAAATAAAAATGTTGTTGGCACTTTTTGAAGTAGTCCTTTTCTTACTAATCACTTGAATAGTTATAAATATTTAAGAGTTTGCTGAGCAAACAGTCTGATGTTTATAAATACGACGTCGCATCTATAAGAATACCATTAACCAAAGTTCCATTTACTACCTACATAAAACTCTAAACTCTTTTTATATTTTATAAAACATATGGTCCATATGTGTATGTGACCATGGAAGCGCTACGAAAGCAACAGTCGTGAACCGAAAATATAAATACATAGTAAATACATAGTAAAAAGTGAATTTTTTACAAAATCAATATGAGCAACAACAATTTCGGTAATAATAATAAGAAATAATCTATTAAAAGCTTTGATGATCTCTACAAATTGTATTAGTTCTCATTAAAACATTATAAGCACTTTTCAACAAAAAGTTCTCCAATCCCGATTCTGTTTTGAGAGCCCCACTTCAGTAATATATTACTATACCATATACTATATATATTACAGGGAACTATAGTTTCATCAAAATGAAACTATTTTATGATTTCAAAACTGAAACTAATACAAAGAGCTTATATTTAAGATTTTTATATAAAATTTTAATTGAATCTTGCCATTATATATTAAATTTGTTCTCAAAGAAACAAACTTTTTATAGGATTGGACTCTTTTTGTGGTGATTTTCGATGACTTGTCAATGCATAGCCGACTTATTGACATATCCTCAACATCCCTATCTTCAATTCCATAACTTCAAAAAATGAGTAATTGTGATATACATTTGGAATTTGAAAAATGTGTGAGCCTATCACACCTACATTTCAAATTAAAAAGAATTCATAGACTTTTTGTGGAAGCAATGGTCATTCGATAAATACATGTAGATTTTTCTTACTCTAGCAATAATATTTTCTAATCATAAAAAAGACGCTACCACAATTTTTTCCGATTGGTGAAAAACATCGAAAAACATCACACTGTAGGTGAGACTTGAACCCAATAAAATCATCTCTTAGGAATAAATGGAGTAGATTTTCACAGATATGTGGAAACTTCATTCCAGTAATCGGGGAAGAGATATGTGTGTGAGCAGTTTAATACCTAGCGGATTAAGTTTATATAACCCAGAAAGCATAGGTGTAGCGCAGGTATGCAGTATTATAAAGTCTTTTATAAGACGGTTATTAAATAATCAATTTTTTAATATGGTGGTCCTAAAACTAAGCATATGATGTATTGGATGTTCATTATGGTATATGCATGGTATATCACAGTACTCCCAAATCAGTTACCAGAACGATTATATATTGAAAAAGTTTTAATGTAAATAATAATATACCTTGTTTTCTAAAATTTATCAATATTATCAACAGAATTTATTATTGGCACCGTTGCAGTTCATAATTATTGTTAATATTATTATTATTAATTAATATTATTAATTATTATTATTATTATTAATAATTATTATTATTAATTATTAATATTATTATTAATTATTATTATTATTAATTATTATTATTATTAATTATTATTATTATTAATTATTATTATTATTAAGTATTGTTATTATTATTATTATTATTATTATTATTATTATTATTATTATTATTATTATTATTATTATTATTAAGTATTGTTGTTCTTATTATTAATTATCATTATTATTACTATTATTATTCATTATATTATATTAGCAAGTAGATACAAAGCTCACCCGTGGTATCAGATTTCACAACAAATAAAATTTACTCAGTACCATTTATACCTCACACAGTATCACATTTTAGTCACCTCCTACGACAGGCATGCTTTACCTTGGGAATATTCTAGCGGTGAAGACGTTATGAAAGAAGCTTCTCAGTAATGTTTATTACATCCTTAGTTGAAACTAATTTTTTTATTGGTCCTGGAACAAAGAACTTATCAATCGTAAAGCGAATATTATTTTCCCATGAATCAATTACTTAAATTCACATGATTGCGAATTAATTAATTATACTAATTAATGGGATTATGAATTATTTAATTATTTTATTGGAATACATTATTACAGTTATAATCTACAATTACTTTAATGTAATGCATCTTTTGAAGTTAAATTTTAATTCAAAATTTCAAATTTTTAAATTTAAAGCAGCAACATTAGCACATGACATTTAAAGATATGATTTTTCAAACATCAAATGGAATTTAAAAAAAAAATGAAATATTTTTAGTTTAGTTTAGATTTTTAGCAGAAATAGTTCAAAATTCATTAGGCTCAAAATTTTCTGTTTCATTCATAATTAATAAATAATAAAATCTAAAAAAGAATGAATATAAATGAGTCTTCCAAAAAATGCAAGAGAGTGACTTTCGGTAAAACTACTGTATATGAATACCCCCGATGTCCTAGCTGGAGCGAAATCAACAAAGATGACGCTGCTTCAAACCATACTGATAACTCAAGTACTGCTCAAAACTCCAAAACAAACAGCAAATCCAATATTCAGGCATACAAAAAATTGAAAAAATGCCAATACTTTTCCCCAAATAAGTCATTAGGTGGAACTACTGGAATGCGACCATCCAATATAGTAAAAAATTTTGCTGAAAATTTCTTTTATAGATGTCCTCATTTTACGAATATAGGCAGGAACATTGGAAGTAA